TTCTGGACAAGAAGTAAAGAGGATATTGTGTCTTTCTCCTTTTGCTTAAACGTTTTTATTGAACAAAGAGGTAAAAGAGAAATGAAATACGTAAAACATATAAAGCTGAGTACATTATACAGCTGTATTCATTGGATCATAACATTCTATTCCATTCTAAGCTCTTGTGCCATGTCTATCCTGTAGCATCTGAGCACCTCCCAGCAGTGCATAAGGCGATGTGACTGGCATCTGTCCCTTATTGTGCCTTTTCCATTCCTCGCCCCAGCGGGACATACTGAGATATATTTTTTTAATGAAACACATAGGCTGGGATTTCCAAAAGTGCTCAAGCGACTTAGGAACAAAAATCCCATTGAAAGGCACTTAGAGCTCTGTCAGACAAATTGGAGAAATGGTCTGAGTTAAACAGGATAAAGTTTAACAAAGACAAATGCAAAGTGCTCCACTTAGGAAGGAAAAATCAGTTTCACACATACAGAATGGGAAGAGACTGTCTAGGAAGGAGTACGGCAGAAAGGGATCTAGGGGTTATAGTGGACCACAAGCTAAATATGAGTCAACAGTGTGATGCTGTTGCAAAAAAAGCAAACACGATTCTGGGATGCATTAACAGGTGTGTTGTGAGCAAGACACGAGAAGTCATTCTTCCGCTCTACTCTGCGCTGGTTAGGCCTCAACTGGAGTATTGTGTCCAGTTCTGGACACCGCATTTCAAGAAAGATGTGGAGAAATTGGAGAGGGTCCAGAGAAGAGCAACAAGAATGATTAAAGGTCTTGAGAACATGACCTATGAAGGAAGGCTGAAAGAATTGGGTTTGTTTAGTTTGGAAAAGAAAAGACCGAGAGGGCACATGATAGCAGTTTTGAGGTATCTAAAAGGGTGTCATAAGGAGGAGGGAGAAAATGTGTTCACCTTAGTCTCTAAGGATAGAACAAGAAGCAATGGGCTTAAACTGCAGCAAGGGAGGTTTAGGTTGGACATTAGGAAAAAGTTCCTAACTCTCAGGGTGGTTAAACACTGGAATAAATTGCCTAGGGAGGTTGTGGAATCTCCATCTCTGGAGATATTTAAGAGTAGGTTAGATAAATGTCTATCAGGGATGGTCTAGACAGTATTTGGTCCTGCCATGAGGGCAGGGGACTGGACTCGATGACCTTTCGAGGTCCCTTCCAGTCCTAGAATCTATGAATCTATGAACCTAGGTGCTTTTGAAAATCTTGGTGGATGCGTTAGCCTATCTTCATCTATGCATTAGTGATGGATGGCCCCTGAAAGAACTGTCTCTCCTGCCTAAATAAGCTATACTCTTGCAGTATCTGTAGATACGTGTGTGTAGATAGACAGTACTGTACTTGTGTTAGTATATAGGCCTGTTTGTTAGCCTGGGATAGAATTTTGGGTTTGACTTTTTGATACTCTTATATCTTATGCTAATATGTGTGAACAAAGAACAAAGATACTGTGTGTGTTGTAGGGCAGATACACCCCAAGGCTAATCCCCCATAGGATATATCAAACCAGCAACAAAAATAAACTTCCGTTTCACCACACTGGCTAACAAGAAGTCATAAAAGCAGTTTCCTTAGGCATTCCAGTCCTTGAATTACCACCAAAAACACTAGACTTAGAGATGAGTGGTTCTTTAAAACCAATCTCTTCAAATAAAAGATTCTTCTGATCTCAAATGACCAGCCACATACCCAGGTCAATATATAACTTAGATCTTTCCCAAAAATCACGCTGATGCCAATTCTTTAGTATCTAAAATCTAAAGGTTTATTCATAAAAAGAAAGAAAGGTGAGAATTAAAATTTGTTAAAGGAATCAAATACACACAGTAATTGCAAAGTTCTTGGTTCAGGCTTGTAGCAGTGATGGAATAAACTGCTGGCTGGATAAATCTCTGGTTGCTTCCAAATCATTGGAAGGACCTCAGTCCCTTGGTTAGAATGCTTCCATTAGTGTAAGTCCATAGTCCAGAGGCTTGAACAGGAAAGAGGCAAAATGGAGGTGTTTCCAGGTCCTTTTATAGCTTCTGCCATGTGCCGGAAAACCCACTGTTTCAAACAAAGCCCCCAGCACAGCTAGTGGAAAATCACAGTTGACAAGATGGGGTTTGGAATCACACCGGCAAGTCACATGTCCATGCATAATTTTGCTTAGTCACAGCAGGAAAGTCCATTATCTGTAGATAGGCGTCTCCCGTGGTCCATTGTGAGTTAAGTGTCCTTTTAATGTGCTTCTCCATTTGAATAGTCCCTCCAAGATGTGCTGGTTAACTACCTTGTGGGCGTTATCCCAGGAGCAAACATTTGAAATCCAGGTACAGAGCCAATACTCATACCTTCAAATACAAAACATATACATGCATACAGATAGCATAATCATAACCAGCAATTCATAACCGTTTCATAGACATCTTACATGCCACAGTTTGTACAAGAGTTGTTGCAAATATATAACAGTGGTTGCAACAATGATCTACATGGTCATATTTTAATCAGATAACGTCACACCTCTCTATCCAGGTCCCTGTGTTGGTTCCCATCACCACAGTGTTTCAGAATGAATGTGTGCTCTCAGGTTAGGATCATTATTTGTGTTATTTGTGTTGTAGCAGTGCCTGGGAGCCCCAGTCACGGACCAGCTGTTGTGCTAGGCGCTGTACAAACACAGAACAAAACGATAGTCCCCACTCCAGAGAGCTTCCAATCTCAGTGTAAGACAAGAGAAGACAGGTGGATACAGAAGACAAAGTGGAGGCAAATCTCTGAGTGGCTCCTTCGTTATCAATCTTAAGTTATAGATTCATGGATTCTAAGGCCAGAAGGGACCATTGTGATCATCTAGTCTGACCTCCTGTGTAGCACAGGCCAGGGAACTGCCCCAGAATTATTCCCAGAGCAGGTCTTTTAGAAAAACATCACATCTTGATTTAAAAATGGTCAGTGATGGAGAATCCACCTCAGGATCCGTCTGCGTATCTGTTTGGTCCTCGCCCCATAGACAATGGGATTCAGCAGGGGCGGCACCAGGAGGTAGACGTCCCCCATGACAACCTGAACCAGCGGAGCGAGGCCTTTCCCAAACCTGTGCACCACGGACAGTCCAATCAGTGGCACGTAGAAGGCCAGGACCACACAGAGGTGGGCCACGCAGGTGCTGAAAGCCTTGACACGCTCCTTCCTCGAGGATAGCTGCAAGACAGCCTTGATGATCATGAAGTAGGACAAGGCAATCAGTAGCGCGTCGAGCCCCATCACCAAGAGGATAGCAGTCAAGCCATAGACGACATTGACCGTGGTGCTGGTGCAGGCCAGGTTCATAACGTCCTGGTGCAAACAATAGGAGTGCGACAGGACGTTGGAGCCGCAGAACGATAGGCGAAGAATGAGCAAGGGCAAAGGGAGGAAAAACATCACCCCCCTAGCCACAGCAGCCAGGCCTATCTTCGCCATCTCCGGATTGGTGAGGATGGTCGCGTGCTGCAGAGGGTGGCATATGGCCATGTACCGATCCCAGGCCATGGCCAGCAGGACGGTGGACTCGACAGCGGACAGGGAGTGGATGAGGAACATCTGGAGCAGGCAGGCGCCGAAGCTGATTTCCCTCCAGTCAAACCACAGGAGGGAGAGCATTCTGGGCACGGTGCAGGTGGACAGCGCCAGGTCGATGGAGGCCAGCATACACAGGAAGATGTACATGGGGGCATGGAGGCTCAGCTCCGTCTTTACAATGAACACCACCGCGCCGTTGCCTACAATGGCCATGAGGTACATGGAGCACAGAGGGAACGCCAGCCAGAAACGGGCAGCTTCCAGCCCGGGCGTGCCGGCCAAGACGAAGGAGGAAGGGCTGAGGTCGGTGTTGTTGGGAGAGGGCATGGTGCGCCGGCTGTGATGCTATTCCATGTTGTCTCCCCCCTCTGCCAGGGACAGAGAAACAGTATTGTAATGAAGCACGTCTAGTGATACTGCGTCTGAAGGGATTACGGCAAGTAGGTGCCTCTAACCCTGGGTGGTGGGTGAACCCCTCCTTCGGGGAGGCTGGCCCGCCAGCCTCGCCCCGTCCACCCCAGGACCC